GGGGCTGGGGAGGGGTCTGGGGGCTCCCCAAGTCTGAGCAGGAGCAGCTGAGGGAGCTTTTCGAGTTCCTTTTGGAGCAAAGGAGGTGAGGGGAGACCTGCTGGCTCTGCAGCTGCCCGAGGGGAGGTTGGAGAGAGGGGGGATCAGTCTCTTCTCCCAAGGAACAGGGATAGAACAAGAGGAATTGGCCTCAAGCTGTGCCAGGGGAGGTTTAGGTTGGATCTTGGGCACAATTCCTTCCCCAAAAGGGCTGTCAGGCCCTGCCCAGGCTGCCCAGGTGGAGTCCCCATCCCTGGAGGGGTTTCCAAGCCCTGGAGATGGTGCTGAGGGGCAGTGGGGCCTGGGCAGGGCTGGGTTAATGGTTGGAACAATCCTGTGATTTCATCCTGCACCGACCCCCTGCACCAGAGCACAGTGTCCCTGAGTGTTCTGCTGGTTCCCCCCTGGCAGCAGGAGGGCAGGATGTCACTGAGTGTTTGTCATCCCAGCTGCAAAATACAAAAGGTACTTTTTTTCCCCCCCCTGGACTTTCCCAGACAGGCAGGACAGACCTAAGGGGAACTTTCCTCCCCAGCTCCTCACTGCCCCACTCCAGATATCTCCATCACACCAAGGAGCAGGAGGAGGAGGCAGCTCTGGAACTGCCCCTGCCTCAGTTTCCCCTGGTGAAAAGGGGCAGTGATGCCCAGAGAGGCTCTCCCTGCCTGCCAGCAGGTTTGTGTGCAACTCCCTGCTCGGAAAAGAAAGACAAGGGTGCAGGTAAAACTGCCTCTGGTAGCAAAGTGTCTTTGTCCTGATGTCCAGAGAGGTGGGACTGGACTTCTTCAGGGCACGTTTGCTGCTTGAATTAACAAAAATTAAATTGGAGAAACCTGCCCTCGTGCTGCTTCTCTTTAAAATCTTGTCTCCAAAGTTTCCAACAGAAACGGACACAACCATTATTTTGGCAGCTGAAGGAGCAGCAGGGCCAGGGGCTGAGGGGAGGGCTGTGCTGCTTCTCTCCTCTGCACAAACACAGCAGAAAAAACAGCTGCTCAAAAGAAATAACAAATAATTTAAAAATAAAATCCTGCCCTGAAGAAAAAAAAATGTTGTTTACTGTCACATACCAGGCCACCCTGCATCCCTCCCCAGGAATCCAGCACGTGCCTTGAGCTGGAGTTGATGTTTTCCCTTTGCAACCTGCTGCAGAGGGTCCCTCTCAGCAGCACCCAGGGGATGTGGCAGGCCCCCGGGGGAGGTGGCAGCCCCTGCTGGAGCCTCTGGCTGCAGGAGCCCTGCAGGGAGCAGGAACCCAGCTCTGCCCAAAGGCTCCTCTTCCCCTTTCTGCCAGGAAGGGAAGTCCCTGCACGGCAGGAATTGAGGTTTTGGCTGCCCCCGTGATGATGAGGCTGCACATCCCCAGGCAAGGGGACATCCCCAGGGGGGTCTCCAGGGGGGTGGGCAGGGCCAGGACTGGCATCACAGCCTGGCAGGGCAGAGCTGGGGTTGGTTTTACAGGCAACAAGACAACCAGCATATTGCAGCAAGTGCCAGAGTGGGAAAAAAAAACCCTTTTCAAGGCTCAGTCCCTGCCTGGAGGGGGCTGTTGGCTGAGCCCTGCCCTGTGCCCCCCCTTGGCCAGCTGGTGACACACACAGGGCACAGCAGGGACAGGAAGATGCTGCACCAGGGACTGAGCCAGCAAAGAGCACCAGAGCCTGCACACACTGACTGGTGCTGCTTCATCTGCTCCCCCAGGGCTGTGCCCCCCAGAAAGATTCAAGTGCTGCTCTCCTGGACCCCTGGTGTGGCCACTGGTGTTGATGAGCAGCTCACCAGGACAGGGTGAGCTCAGGTTAGAACCTGAGCAGTGAAGGGTGCAGAGAAACCAGGGGTGCAGCACAAAGCCAGCCAGGATCTGGGGAGGGGGAGCTTGGGGACTGATGCAGCAGAGAAATATGGGGACTTGGGTGCCAGGCTAAAGCCTCTGCCCTCAGGACTCACCTGTACCTACCTGGGGCCAAGCAGGGACAGTGCAATGGTTGGAAGCAAGGGAAACGCTGCTGGGAACAACAAAAGTGCTAAGAAACAGGAGCCAAACTGCTCCAATCCCTGCCCCTGTCTGACCCCCTAAAGGCCCTCTGACCCCCACAGGAGCTGCAGACCCAAACCAGAGGCAGGACTTGGGGGTGGCCTGCATCCTTCACCCCTCTCCAGGGGCTGGCACAGCAGCCTGCAGGCAGTGGGCACCACAGCACAGACCTCAGGCTCTCCAGGGCTGTTCTCAGCCTGGGCCTGCTGGGATGAGGCTCCAAGCCTTTGGGCACTTGGCCAAGGCAAAGAAAAGCCCCTTTCCTTCCCCTCCTCCCAAGTGGCTGGAGTTGTACTTGTTGTTTTTCACTTTAGCAGACAGTTCCTGGTGGTTATAATTATCCGAGCCTCCCCCAGGGAGTCATTAAACCAGCACCTTCTCTCATATATGTATGTATATATATATATATAATAATAATATATATAATTTATAGAGAAATAACTTTTGTAAACAATACTCTTCTACTCCAGAAGGAAGTGTAGTCCATGGCATAATGCAGCTACAATCACAGCTCTCAAAACCAGCCCCAGCAGCTCCAGGGAGGGGGTGGGGGGGCTGTGACCCCCCCCAGCCCCTGCACGTGTCCCCAGTGGGACAGTTCCTGGGTGGGGAGGGAACCGGTCGGCTGGGTTTTGGGTGTCACTGGTTTCAGGTGAAGCAAACTGGTCCGACTGTGAAACCAAACTGGTGGGAGGTGTCACCGTTGTGGAAGACGCCCACGTCCCGCAGGGGCAGGAGGGAGAGCTCCTCGGTGCTGAACTGGAAGATGGTGTCAGTGATGGAGGAGTCGTTGTCCAGCTGAAATGAGCACCACGGGCAGCTGAGCAGCATCAAAACCCTGGTGGGCCTGAAGGGTCAGGCACCCACTGGCCCCTTTCCCTGCTCTGGCTGCTCCTTGATGCACCCAGCCCCCCCGGCGGGCATGGACAGGTCTCCATCCCCAACCCTTCATGGCTTCTCCAGGGAGATGGAATCATAGAATCGTGAAGGTTGGAAGGGACTTTAAAGCTCATCCAGTTCCAACCCCGCTGCCATGAGCAGGGAACCCAAAACCTCCTCCAGCCTGGCCTGAAAAACCTCCAGGGATGGGGCATCAACAACCTCCCTGGGCAACCCATACCAGTTCCTCACCACCCTTAGAGGGAAGAATTTCTTCCTAATAGTTGGCCTCCCCCATGTCCCCTGGAGCCCACCACAGCCCCTACCACCACACCCCAGTTAACTCCTTGGGCCCAGGGAAAAGGTGCTGCCCATCTCCATCCTGCCACATGGATCCTGATTGGAGTCTATCCCAAACCCTGGGGGTGCCAACACGTGCTGAGGGACTCAGATCATGACTCAGATCATGAAGGTTGGAAGGGACCTTAAAGATCATCAAGTTCCAACCCCCCTGCCATGAGCAGGGAGCCCTCCCACTAGACTTTGTTTAGACTTATGTGGGGAAGAAAAGAACAGTTTCCCACACCAGGTTGCACAAAACCTCCAGGGATGGGGCATCAACAACCTCCCTGGGCAACCCATTCCAGATGTTGGGGGGCCTTTTCCAGGCATGGAAGAGAGTCTGACCATGCCCAGGCTTACCACACAGCCCTGCAGGCTGGCTGCGTAGCTCTGCTCCCGGGAGTCAGCCAGGAAGAGGATTTCCTTCTGGGGCTGGGGCTGGCCCTGCTGGGGGGCTGGTCTGCAGGAGTAGGAGACCTTCTGGGTGGCCTGGTGGCTGTGCAGGCGGAGGAAGCGGAGCTGCACCGGGCTGGCCCCTCTGTACTCCAGCTGGGGGACACCAGAGGGGAAAATGGGGGTAGCAGGGGCTGCTTGGAAGGGTCTGTGCTCCCCCCCTGCCCACAAACTGGGCAGGATTCCCACTTAAAGCAGTGGTTTGGGTTTTCTTGCTGAAGGAAGTGTCACATGCCACTGGGACGCTGCCTGGGCACTTCCCCAGCACAGGCAATAGGAGACCCCCAACCCCCTGCAATGGGCTCTGTGTCCCCTCGGCTGTCCCAGCTGGGCCACTCACCAGGAAGCCCCCAGGAAGGGTGCTGAACCACTCAAAGGTGTCCTTGGAGGTGTAGGTGCTCAGCCAAGCCTTGATGGGGACCTGCAGGGAGTGGGGACCATGTCACACTGTCCCAGCAGGGGACAGTGGCACTGCCAGGACAAGGAGCCAGGTATAGCAACCCATGGGTGGGACCTGTCCCTGCACTGCTCACACACTGTGACCAGGATCCTCAACTGCTCCCTGGCCATGGCAGTGGTCACCACGGCAAGGAATTGGCCACATTGTCCCTCTCCAGCCCCACCAACCCCCATCCTCACCCTGAGAAGTGACACAGGGCTGGAGCTGCCCCACGAAAGCCACCCCCTACCTGGTTGTGGATGGGGGCTATGCAGGTCTCACCCCCTGCTGTGAAGTTGCAGAAAGCCACCAGTGCATCCTGGGGACTGCCCTGGTTGGGGTCAATGTAGTATTGCCCTGGAGGGAGGCAGAGTTTTTGGCACAGGGAGGATGCCACCTAATGCCACCCCACCTCAGCTTGGGGCAACATCCCTGCACCCTCCCATCCTCCTGGGATGCAGCCATCTCCTTGTTCCAGGGATGCCCATGAAACCCAGCTCAGCTCATCCCCACAACAAACTCTCATCTCCTTGGAACTGCAAAGAGCTGCCTGTCCCCCCACATTGGCCAGCCAGGGGAGGGGAGCTGGCTGGGTCTAGGGCCAACGTGGGGGGATCCCACGTGCACCCCAGTACCGTCGGGCAGGCTGGGGTGGGCCAGCAGCAGCTCCTTGCAGGTGGTTGCTGGGTTGGTTTTGGTGCCTTCGGGATGATCCACCAGGGTTTGCAGCTCCTGGCTCAGGGTGTCCAGCACAGCCCAAACCGCCGTGTAATTCAGGTGGTTGGAGGGATAAATTAGGTGCTGAAAGAAAAAGAGGGAGGATAGAACAAAGCTGAACATAGACACCCCCTTTCCCCCCCCCTTCTTGTTTCAGCCAGGAGGATCACCAGGTGCTCAGGGAAGGGGTGGGATGTTCAGGGAAACAAGGACAAGCGTGTTGGGGGAGGGAGGAATCATATCTGCTTGCTCTTTGTGCAAGGTCCCTGTGCACAGAGGGACCTCAGAAGAAGCAGGACACGGGGCAGCATCACTGTCAGCCCCTTCCCTCCCAGCTGGCACCCACCAAAGAGGCCTGGGGGGTCCTGGTCCCCCCACACTCACCTGCAGCTCCTCCCCAGACAGCAGCAACACGGGTCCCCTGGGGCCAGGGGGGCCAGCCAGCCCCTGGGTGACAATGACAATGACCCTGGCTGCTGCCCAGGAGCCCCCTGCCAAGCTCCTCCAAGAGCAGCACCAGCTCCTGGCTGTCCCCATGGCATGGGGGAACAAGGGACCCAGATTTTGGGGTGAGGGACATGAGCAGCTCCACTCACCGGCAGGCCTGGTGCACCCCGGGGTCCCGGCAGCCCCGGGATGCCTTTCAGCCCCTGGCACAGAGTGAGGAGGAGGAAGGAAGAAAAGCAAAGGGTTGAGAGGCTGCAGCTCTGAGCCTCATCCCAGGGTGCCCAGCAGGGCCACCCAGCACCCAGGAAAAGGGCAGGTGCCCTGCTGCAGGACTCAGCCCAGCTCCAGCTGCTCCTCCCCACTTACTTTGGGTCCAGACAAGCCCTGGAAGAGAAGGACCAGCCCCAGCTAAGAGGGATGCAGGTGGAATGGAGGTTCCCATCCCAGCATAACCCCTGCAGGGCCAGGAGCAAACCCCAAACCTGCTGGGAGGGTGAAGGACTCACCGGCGTCCCGGGGATGCCAGGGTGTCCCTGTGGGCCAGGGGAGCCTCTGTCACCCTGCAAAGACACCAGGGGGGTCAGGGCACTGCATGGGGCACCCCCAGCCCTGTGTCCCCCTACACCCCAGCCCCTTCCCCAGGCGGATTTTGCATGAAAAAGAAAAGAGGAATGAATCCCAAATACTTATCTTGGCTCCTGCCATCCCTCTCCCCCCTGCCCTTACCTGCTGCCCTCTGGGTCCTGGCCTCCCAGGGATGCCACTGGGTCCTGGCTTGCCCTAGGAGATGTGACAAAGTGTCACATGGGGTGACAAGGGACCAAGGGGAGGGAGGAGAAGAGCAAAGCCCTCCACGCACCTTGAAGCCATCGTCCCCTTGCTGGCCCAGCTCACCCATGCTGCCCTTCTCACCCTAGGAGAGAGGCAGGGAGAGCTTAGGTGAGGAAGAGGAGGGTAGAGACCCCTGGGACACCAGCCCAGGTGGGAGCTCTGCCCTGGAGGGTGGGTGTCAGGAACCCTGCTCTCCTTGGTGGCATTGAATCAGGTAAGCAACCTGTTACCTACTGGCAGGAGATACCTGCTTTGGGAGGTTGCCCAAAGCCAAACCACCTCCTGGCCTCCAGCAACTGGCTGGGAAATGGGCAGTTCCCAGTTATGACTGGCTGCAAAAGTTCTAAAAAAAAAACCAAACCCAAACCCAAACAACCCTATCTTTTTGATTTGGTAGAATGAACTGCAGCCCTTTTGCTGGGGAAGGAGGAGGCAGTGGCTGCTCCCCAGGCAAAACTGAAAGTATTGTATCCCAGACTAAAATAACTTCCCAGGAAACACCCTGAGAAAAAGAAAGCCAATGTCTTGTGTGCTGAAATCTGGTGGAGCCAGGGAAGAAAGCCCAGCCCAGCAGCTGCCTGCAGCCTCCCCCCTCCTGCTTTCCCAGGCTCTGGCCTCTCTGGACACCCTGGACTTGAACTTCTGCCATCACTCCTTTAGCTTGCAATAAATTTGAAGCTTTATGACCAGGGTTTCATTTTCCTGAAGGCTGTGAGCAACCACCCTCCAACAGGGACTCTTTGTCTTATTTCCAGCCTCGTGGCTGATGGATGGGACCGTGAGGATGTGCTTGGCTCCCTGGGCCAAGGCTGGATCCCTCAGCTCCTCAGAAATGGCTCAGAGGAGGCATGTGCAGGGGATTAAAACACTCCTTGCTGCTGCTTGCAACTCCAGGAGGATGGAGAGGCTGGAAAAGGTTCTGTTTTGGGACAAAGTCTAAAGATTCCCACCTCCCAGCACCTGGGGACACAGTGGGCAAGCCCCAACAAAGGGTGCTGCAGTGATCAGGTGTCAGGAAGAGGGGAATAAGTGATGGCATCCAGCAAATTAAATGCCAGCCTGTGGCCAGAGTCCCCACTGTGCCTGGGGCTGAAGTGCTGGTGCATGTCACCCACCTTGTGTCCTTTGGGTCCAGGGTCTCCTTTCATGCCCTTCAGCCCTGGGATGCCCTAAGAGAGAAATGACATCTCTGCGTCACCCTGTGGCTGAGCTGTTCCCATCCCTGGCAAGGAGGGATACAAGGTTGTCACCAGGACTCTGAGAATTCCTCTGGGGAGAAATCTTTGATTTTTATGCTTTCAGGGGGATCTCTCAGCAAAGCTGATGAAAAATGCAGTTCAGGTCCCTTGGCTGGTTGCAGAACATCCCAGCTTTGTTTCCTGAAGTTTTCAAAGCTGGGATTTTTACTTTAAATAGGGACAAAACAATTTCCAGTAATTAAAAAAAAGGGTTTGAGTAATTTTGGTTTGTTTTTTTTCTTTTCCTTTTGGCTGCTGCAGTGCAGTTGGTCACTCCAGTTCTGTGGGAACAGCCCTCTGCAAGTGCTCAGCACTGCCAGGCACCAGACACCTCTCGGGCAGTATTTGGCCTCTGGAACAACACATTGGAGATGCTGTGGTTTGCCTGACTGCACAGGCACTGCTGGGATGGGGATCTGGGAGGAGAAGACTTGATGAGATGGATGAAGGCTGGATGAACCACCTAGAAACTTGTTATCAGTGGGTCTCTGCTTGGGTTGTCTGCAGAGCTGGGCTGCAGGGTGGTACCTACAGGGAGCACCAGCACCCTGAATCCCCCAAGCTGATACTCACATAGGGTCCTTGGGGGCCCTGGGGTCCTGGCAGCCCCTTGTCACCTGGGAAGCCCTGAAATGCAAAAGGGAGAGAGCCTGGCTTGCTGTGCCCAGCCCTGCAGTGTGGGAGCAGAGCAGGAGTGATGCAGGGAGAGCAGCTCATGAGGTCAGGGGGTGCAGGGAACCCCCCCTTCCCCTTGGGCAGGAAGGGACTGGGGACACAGAGCCCCATGTGGTGCCCCTATATTGGCTTCTTCTTTTCCAAGCCAGGAGCTGGTGCAGGTGGGAGCAGCCCTGGGCTCAGAGCAGCCCTCACCCCAGCAGGACCAAGCCCACCTACCTTGGGTCCCCGGGGTCCTCTGGGGGCCCGCTGGCCCATCTTCCCTCTCTTGCCCTGGGAACAGCAAATCAGAGACTCAGGAGCAATTCCAGCCTGGTGATGGCTCTAAACTGGCTGCCCCACATCCCCCTCAGGGACCCCCAGGGAGATGCTGAGCCCCCAGCAATCCAGGAGCCTTCCTGGCTTCTGAGCATCAGTCCCAGGCCTTCTGCCACCCTCCCTGGGGACAACGGTGCCATTTACCCGTCTGCCAGTTCCTCCAGGGACCCCTTCTTCCCCTTCATGCCCCACATCACCCTGGGAGAAGGAGAGATGGGAGATGACAGTCACCAGCAGCCCAGCCACATCCCAGAGCAGGACTGGGAAAACGGGTCACGGAGATGGGGACAGGGCTCTCCATGTGCTGGGGGACACTGGGGATGGGCACCATGAGTGGGGTGCAGAGCTGGCCAGTGGAGGGGAGGTGTCCCCCCATAAAGGACACCTGGAGCCAGGATGGAGGAAGCCCTGTGGGGCTGGGGGGGTGCTGAGCTGGGGAGACCTGCCAGCCCCTCACCCAAAAACCAGCCAAGGTAGCCCAAGGGCATCTGAGGGCTCTGTGTTTGCCAGGTACAGATGCATGGCTGCCTTTAGAGCAGGGAGAAACATCCCCCAGGGCAGTTCCTCCTGATTTCTCTCCGCGGGCACAAGAGGGTTGAGCAGCTCAGGCCCAGCCACCCCATGGCTGGTGGCTGCTCCCCCCTGGGGTGCCATCTGCAGAGGTACCTTTTCTCCTTTGCAACCTTTCCACCCTTTAGGACCGGCTCGTCCTGGAGGCCCCTAAAGCCCCAAAGGAGAAGGAAACCCCTCGGTCAGGATGCTGCACCAGGGATGTCCCCTCGCAGCCTCCCTCCCTGCTCTCCCCACAGCCTGCACGGGAAGATGCTCTGAGCTGAAGTCTCCAGTTGGGAGATCTTTGCCCCTGTCTGGAGCAGGCTGGGGCTGTGGGGGGGTTTTAGCAGGAACTTGAGAGGCT